GTAGCCTCCTACAAGCAGAACTTCCTGGACCAGCAGCAGCAGAAGCTGCGCGCCGACCAGCAGGCGACCGGTCGCCGCGACAGGGGGGGGGTCGGGAGCCTTGAGACGGGGGTCAATGCAAACGGGGTCAGCCAGAGCGCTGGACCTTGCATGATCCTGCAGATTCAGGGGTGCACTGACCTGGGCTGGCGTGCAACATCCTGCAGAGTCGTTCAAGATCTTGCACGATCCTGTGTTTGACCCAGGTCTGTACATTCCCGAGAAGGGGCTGGAGGAGGACCCAGACATCGGGGAGGAGGAGGACGACAGCGACGAGGAGAAGGAGGAGGTGGCAGGTGGCAGGTGGCAGGTGGGGGGGGTGGGGGCGGAGAAAGGAGGGAGGTGCGGGGAGAGAGGCGGGAGGGCGAAAGTAGGAGGATGAGGAGGGGGGGGGCTGGATGCGAGGGGTGGCATCCCGGCAAGGGGAGGTGAATTCTTGAGGCACGGCCTGCCCCTGCTTGGACGGCGTTGGACTCGCTTCGCGCGCCCGCGTGCCAAAGAGTATCCCCACCAGCCCGACTTCGAGGCATCCTAGAGAGATGGTGTTTTCGTTTAGCCTGTTGCTCGTTACTGGAGCCGTACTGCTGGCGCCGCAAGGGGTTGTGTGCGCACTTGGGTCAGAATGTTCGCACCACGCACGTTAGGCCAAAATCTCCCGCCGCACAGGGAACATCATTCACCGCAGAGCATCGGGAACAAAAAACATAAAAGGAACGATCGCCAGGCTTCCTGCGCGACGTGGCGCTGATTGTTTGTTTCTCCTGATGTGTCTTTGGTTGCCTGCTGTTTTCGTGTGTGACTGGTTGCCTGCGGCCCTGGGCGTGTCACTCGTTGCCTGTTGCCTTAGACGTGTCGCCTCTTGAGCCCATGACTCAACAAGAGGGGGTCCTAAATGTAGATCCCCCTCCTCGGTGCCTAATGTTGGAGGCCCTTTTGGCTCTATTGGGGCCTTCTTGGGCCCCAGCGAGGTGGGGGAACGCGCACATACAGGCTAGACCCCGTGGCTCCTTGGGGGGTACCACCTGCGCGAATGTCGCCACTTTCGTGGGGTCATCGCGGGCCCAGCTGAGTGGGGGGATACTCACATCCAGACTAGACCTCACGATTGTCTGGGATGCTGTCACCTGCGCAACTGTCGCTTTCTTCGTGAGCTCCTGGGATGCCCAGCGGAGTGGTGACTGACGCACTTCCAGGCCAGTGACCAGACCTCGCGGCTTCCTGTGTGGCTGCCACCCGCACAACTGTCGCCACTTCCAGTAGCCCCCTTGGAAGTCCACCAGAGCTGCGCCTTACGCACATCCAGACCAGACCTCGCGGTTCCCTGGGGGGCTGCCACCTGCGCAATTGTATTTTGGACCCTCTTGGGCCGTCTTGGACCTTCTTGGGCGAACTTGGAGGCCATCTTGCCCTCTTGGAGGCCATCTTGAGCCGTCTTGGGGGATGTTTTCCGGACGTTGAGGTCGTTTCTGGTCCCTTCTGGGTGGCCGGCGGGGTCGACCGAATCCCCAGGGAGAGTTGTTTCGGAAAAAGAAACCAAGTCCAAGCCGTATAGTATTCAGCACGCGAGGCACCCTTGTGGCAAGCCGACAGGAGGCGGCGAATCTAGTGGCGTGGCCCATATTGTTGCCGCGCCTGGGTTGCAGGTCAGAGGTCTCCTGGATCCCTGTGAAGATCTCTTGGAAGGCTTCTCGGATGCCTCTTGGAGGCGGTTTTGGGGGTGTCTTGAGGCGTCTTTGGGGCCTCTTGGGCACTGATTCGGGCCGCTGTGGGTTTCTTAGGGGCCTGTTGAGACCTTTTGGGCGCACCTCGGAGGTTTCTGGGGGGATCTTGTGTTCCCCATCTTGGGCACCTCTGGGGTCCGTCTTGGGGGCGTCTTGGCCCCCTCTTGTAGGCTCTTGGGCCGTTTTGGGGCGGTCTTGGGCGCCTCTTTGGCAGTCTTGGCTGCTTTGAAGATCGAAAAGGCGGTAATGCGAAACCCATACGAGAACCAGTGTCTGTTGACGGCTTTGGCTTCTTAAGCCGCGTCCCAGGGCCTCCAAGATGGCCCATGAGGCGGCACACGAGGGCTCCAGGACGGTCCCCAGGGCCATGTGAAGCCATATGGGACATGCATGTCCCGAACCACGCGCTCGTGGCCTCGAGAAGTCAGGCGGGGACCCCCTAAGAGGGCCCAGGAGCGCCGGGTAGCGACCCGTACTCTTGGCTCTGGACCCTTCAAAGAGAATTCACATAATTCTTTACGCTTCGCGTATCCCCACCAGCCCATCTCACAACAGCAACTCTTGCGAAGCATGCCGACAGTCGTGTTTTTCAGGCGTGTGTCCGCTTGGCCCCGCATATCTCCCCTGTTCCTCCTTCCTCCCGCCTCCTTGTACATCCTCCTTGTGGGGGGAGCGGGAGAAGGACGAGGCGGAGGAGGAGGGAGAGAAAGCGCTCCTCGTGGTTTGAGTCGTTTGGGGTTTCTCGTCCTGGTGTGAGTCGTTCGGGCCCTTCTTCCTGGTGTGAGTCGTTCGGGCTCTTCGTGGTGTGAGTCGTTCGGGCTCTTCGTCCTGGTGTGAGTCGTTCGGGCTTCTCGTGGTGTGAGTTGTTCGGGCCCCTCGTCCTGGTGTGAGTCGTTCGGGCCCCTCCTCCTGGTGTGACTCGTTCGGGCTCCTCGTGGTGTGAGTCGTTCGGGGCCCTCGTCGTGGTGTGAGTCGTTCGGGCTCCTCGTGGTGTGAGTCGTTCGGGCGCCTCGTCCTGGTGTGAGTCGTTCGGGCCCCTCCTTCTGGTGTGAGTCGTTCGGGCTCTTCGTGGTGTGAGTCGTTCGGGCCCCTCGTCCTGGTGTGAGTCGTTCGGGCTCCTCGTGGCGTGAGGCGTTCGGGCACCTCGTCCCCTTTTGGGGCGTCTTGGGGGCCTCTTGGCGGCCCCAGGGGCTTCTAGGAGCGTCTTGGGTGCCTTGGGGGAGCCTCTTCGGGCCTCTTGGGAGCCTCTTGGAGGCCGTTTGGGGCGTCTTGGGGGCCTCTTGGCGGCCCCAGGGGCTTCCAGGAGCGTCTTGGGTGCCTCGGGGGAGCCTCTTGGGGCCTCTTGGAGACCTCTTGGGGGCATCTTGGGGGCCTCTTGGAGGCCTCTTGGGGGCCTCCTGGGGACCTCTTGGGGCCATCTTGGGGCCTCTTGGTGCCTCCTGGGCGCTTCTTGGGGCCATCTTGGAGGGAATGGATCAAAGAAGAGGGGAGCTTTAATGAGCGCTGCCCCCTCAGAAGGGCAAACTGAGCCCAAAACCTTCGTAAAATCAATGATTTTGCCTTGAAGGAAGAGGGGGGCTTTCATGCCTTCAATGAAAATGGGGCCAACACCGTAGTAAAATCAATGATTTTGGCTTCACAGAAGAGGAGGTTGTTTTTTTCTCCCTCCCCCCGTCGGGGCCAGAATCCTCGTGAGGGGTGTCGTTTTTTAGCCCTCCCAGAAGTCGAACATGACTCCCCTGACGACCCGCGGAGGGACCTCTCCAGGCCCAGGGGAGGGGGGAGGGGGAGGGGTAAACCCCTCCCCGAAGGGGAAAAAGGGGGTTGAGAACAGAGCGGGCTCTCTAAACCACTCACGCCCAAAGGGCTGGTGGGATTCAACCGGGGGAACTCGAAGTGACCTGAGGTCACTCCAAGTCATGCTTCGGGGCACGGCGGCGGAATAAACGTAAGGAGTAGATAAAGGAGGACAGGGAAGGGCCTGGAGAGAGGATGGAAGAGGAGATGGAAGAAGAATCCGCTAAATCTATTGCGACTGAGCGGGAGGACCCCCCGACTGGACGGCAAGTTTGGGACCCCCCGACCAGCGCAGCCCATCCCTGGTCACAGCGCTGCCGCTTGCCAGTGACGGGAGGTGGGCCGCTGGACAACCTTGAGATCCGGGCAGCTTGTTTTTTCACAACGGGCGGTTTCGCTTGGTTTTTTCCCAACCATCATGTGGTGTCGGGTCCTCGTTTTGAAGAGACAGTGCCCCGCGTTCACTCCTCCTCTCGCTGCCCCCTACCTCCTCCTCCTCCTCCTCCTCCTCCTCTTCCTCCTCCTCCTCCTCCTCCTCCTCCTCCTCCTCCTCCCCCCCTCCCTCCTCCTCTCCTCCTCCTCCTCCTCCTCCTCCTCCTCCTCCTCCTCCATCTCTCATCATCATTCATCATCATCATCATCTCATCATCAATCATCATCATCATCATCATCCTCATCCTCATCCTCATCCTCATCCTCATCCTCATCCCTCATCATCGTCATCGTCATCGTCATCGTCATCATCATCACCATCATCATCATAATATTCATCATCATCATCATCATCATCATCATCTTATCATCATCATCATCATCATCATCATCATCATCAGCATCAGCATCAGCATCAGCATCATCATCATCAGCATCATCATCATCATCATCATCATCACCATCATCATCAACCCGTTCAGCACACCCCTCACACGTTTCGTGGCCCTATCGGGAGCTCAACCGACGGCCCCAGTGCCACCGCCCGCATGCGTCCCCCCCCACCCAGTACGGCGTTTCATGGCCCCAGAGGGAGCTTCACCGAAGGTCCCAGTGCTACCGCCCGCATACGTCCCCCCACCCAGTAGAGCGCTTCGTGGCCCCATAGGGGGCTCACCGACTGCCCCAGTGCTACCGCCCGCATGCGTCCCCCACCCCACCCAGTACAGCGCTTCGTGGCCCCATGGGGAGCTCCACCGAAGGCCCCGGTGCTACTGTCCGATGCGTCCCCCCCGCCCAGTACATCGTTTCGTGGCCCCAGAGGGAGCTCCACCTGAGGTCCCAGCGCTACCGCCCGCATGCGTCCCCCCACCCAGTGCAGCGTTTCGTGACCCCATGGGGAGCTCCACCGACTGCCCCAGTGCTACCGCCCGCATGCGTCCACCCCCACCTAGTACAGCGTTTCATGGCCCCATCGGGAGCTCCACCGACTGCCCAAGTGCTACCGCTTGCGTGAGTCCACCCCCGCCCAGTACATCGTTTCGACGAAGGTCCCAGTTCTACCGCCCACATGCG